CGATACAGCCTATTGCTTTGTACCATCTTATGAACAACTGATGTTTGCTTCGAAAGGTAGAATGTTCACCTCAACACAAATACTGCATTGGCCGTTTTGAGTGTTGTGTGTCGGAAGCAGCGTGCGCATCATTTTCACATTAGCAGCAAGTACCACTTGCTCGCGCACATGCCGAGTGAGCTGTGTGGCCTTGAAAGCCATCCATCCCCAAGCTGATATTGCGATGGAAGCTATGTGCTCGTTGGACCAGTCGCACATCTATTTTTTGCCTTGTGATTATGCTCCTGCTCTGCGCAGAGAGTGGGCTGAAGCGACAAGAGGGAGGCAGCTGATTGGCCCGGCAGGTGCGGTGGCCCCACCGCTGTCTGCTCGGGGATGAACGGCTTACGGAAAGACAGTCTCGTAATGAGACGTTTGTGAGAAAATGTTTGGGCTGCTTCCGGGCCAAATTTTGCGCTTCCGAGCACCTGACATTTTAAAAAAGTGTGGAGGCGATGACTGCCAAAAGTATCAAACCATAAACAAAATTTAGCGACTCCTGAAGGCCATCATTTTTACACCCGTGATGTCGGTCTTTGTCTCACGTTCGTTTTGACTTGTGCTTTGAAATTTCCTGTTAGTAACAGGGGCAGCGATATATATATGAGCTCTCATCTTGAACCTCGGCTCACAGGATTGCGCAAAAACGTTTTGTGGCTAAGCGTGCGCTTTATCGTGACATTATTTTGTGTTGCGTGCGACTGAAGTTCCTGTTGCTGATACTCGATGTTCTCAAAGTTTGAAACCTGGAGATAAAAATAAGGTGTGATAAACAAACTGATTCTTGTATAATGATAAAAGTCTGTTGTTTTTTTCTCATTTTTGTGATTATGTAGAGATTCGTCCAGTTAAGAAACTCATTCCTTAAGCAGCTCACCCATGCCCTTGCTCTATTTGCTGTGTAGTGCACTTGGTTTTTGGCAAGTCTGCTGATGCAACTTTTCAGCACCAATATTTTGAGTGCATGCGACACAGAATGTGCAGTGGTGTGCGCAACTTACTTACACCCTTAATTACAAAAAGGTGACATTTTCATAGTTATCAATACTCTTCGAGTAACACATTCACCACAAAGTACTCTTTTTTTTTTTGTTTGTTTGGCACTGGTTGGAACACACTCTTTTAGGCTCCTTTCTAATTCTTCATTTGCACTTTCTCTGCATATTTGGTGTTTGTCACTAAACTTTCTTTTCACCTTTTCTGTGCCAAGGAGATCTTTCTTTTGTAAGTGAAAGTCTGACACTTTTCTGTCATCGATTTTTTGCTTGCCATGTTCTAAGTTTGTAGCACCTGTTCTAGCCAGTGTTGAGCAGATATTTCATACCTCGGAAATTCCAAAGCTATTTATTGAATCTTTCTGTACTTTTCCTGTGATCTGAAGGATAGCAGCTTCTGAATCGGGTATTTCTTTTTAGCTGAGCTTTGTTTAAGGCACTGTTCTAAGTAACTCCTGGGCTAATGCTCTGTTGTCCTATTGTCATGCTTAAAAGAAATAAGTGTGTAAGGGGACTCCACAGTTAATAAAATATATAATTAATTGAATCATGTTTCTTTGAATTTGTTATACAGTCGATCCCCGCAGTAACAAAACCGCCGGGGAAGGAAATGTTTTTTGTTCTTGCTAGAATTTCGCTGTTGCGAATATGGACAAATAAGCACACATTACTTTCCACAACTAAAATTGATGCTGTCCTTGGATTTCAGAACCTTAGAAAGTGAGCTGCACGGGATACTGAACTTCTCCAGAATATTTGACTTCTTTCTGCCAGCTTCGGCGATGAGTGCAGACTTCTCCTGGAGCGTCAAAAATCTTTCGAGGCGGCATCTTTCGACAGGCCAAACAAAAGAAAGTAAACATGGCGCGAGCGGTCTTGGCGTGCACGCAGCAGATGGCGAAATGGCAGCGGGCGGCCGGCGGTGTCATCACGTAAAACGTCGGATACCTACGTGGTTGCCAACAAATGGGGTAACAAAATGCTGTTTTCAGCGACCAAAAAAAAAAAATTTATCTCGTTGCTATCATCATTAATATTTGACCGAATGTGAGCAGCAATGGCCGCGCCGATGCTTGTCGGAAACGTATCTGTCCGACTTGTCAGATGAGTGTGCTGCTTTTCGTACTTCTGGGTGGCTCATGTGCCGAAAAAATGCTGCAGATTAATGCGGGACTGCTTTTTAAAAACTCCTCGCTGTTGAGAGGGTGCAAAGGCATTGAACTCTGAATCCCGGAGAAAAGCTCACCGGAGAAAAGCTCACCGGAGATAAGCTCACCGGAGATAAGCTCACCGCAAAACCGGCGGATGCGGAGAAAAGCTCACCGGCCATTGAGCGTATGCGCAGAAAAGCTCACCGTTATTTTTTCTTCTTTTTATATGGAGGCTGTTGGATCGTGCGTAACATATATCAATTTATTATCATTAAAATTCGTCAGCTTTGTAAAAAATAAAATGTCCTTTTGTAATATTTATTAAGCTTAATGGGTATATTGCTCCCAAATTAATAACCGCGGGTCAGTGTTTTTTGTGGCTTACTCTCTAGGCAACGAAAGCCTAACTGAAAGCTTTATGAAGTTGAAGAACAGGAAAAAGTTAAAAAAAAAAGTAATGATGACTGCCTAAAACCTAGAAATCAAAGGTGTAAATGCCGAAAATTCAAAAGTGCACGCGCAACACCGCGGTGCCTGAAATTCTCTTTGAAGCTTTTGTTAACATTTGAAAACAGGATAAAACAGTCAATAGGATATCGAGGCTTCTTTCTCCCACGGACATGCACGCTTTCTAACCGTTCGTGCTGGTGTTTCCACACGTTCCCTTTGTGTGATAGTGTCCTTCTACGGTGCGCCAGCCATGACCTTCAGAGGTGCACACTGTCTCCGTTGTTATTCGTGAGCTATATAAGAACTAGTCATTTGTAAGGTTGGTAGCGGATTGGGCGAGTTGGTAAACGTTTTACATGATGAAAACCGCTCAAACAACGACGACGACAAACACGACACGACGAAGCTGTTCGTGCAACTAAAGTTTTGTTAGTGAAATTAACAGAAAGAAAACAGCGTAGCCGCCACTGATTACATTAACAAACATCTACTTATCTATTAGGCAAAACACAACATTTGGACCTCAAACGATTCACACACCGCTATTAGCTCGCAAAAAACAAACCTCTTTATCTGACAGAGCTACCGACGGCGCACCCTCAGCTGTCAATAAATTGTTGCCTTTTTTACCGGTGTGGGATGTTCTGACTTTATACTTGCGGCTTCATTAATTTACAGAATGGGTGATTACCAATTTCTGAGGAATTAGTAAATATGCCCAATGAACCTCAAGAATATTACAAAAACGAGGACATATCTTTAATGAAGTAACGAATGCGAATTGTGTTAAATTGCCACGTTTTACGCAGAATCAAGCTAAGCTAAAAAAAAAAATATCGGTGAGCTTTTCTCCGCATCTGCCGGTTTTGCGGTGAGCTTTTCTCCGGTGAGCTTATCTCCGGTGAGCTTTTCTCCGGTGAGCTTTTCTCCGGTGAGCTTTTCTCCGCCGCCCTTGAACTCTATGTCATGAACGTTTGTTGGGGCCGCCAGATTTCTTTGTTGCCGCGACAATTTCGTCCTTGAGGGCTTTTGTTATTTTTTTTTTTTATTTGTACTACTGGTCCTTGTTCAGGACCATTGTAGGAATGGTTACATTCATGAGGTTACAAAATAGCCTTCAAACAAGCAAACAAAACATCAAACATTGAGCGGTTCAACTGTAATTTGAAGTAGTTTACACGAATGACCCGCTCATAAATGCGTTCCCGTTAGCGATAAAGTAACGCACATTACTTCTGCGTTTATTTAAATTATGAACACGTTTTACTGTTTTGACGGTACAGGTGTGCATAAGCACCATATTTCAAGAAACATTATGTTAGTGCAAAAACTGAACATAATTATCTTTTTTACTCTTTCACCTAAATACAAAAAAAATGCAAAGAAAAGCACAAAAAAAATGAAATTCACGTCGCTTGGCGCCTAAAAACAACTTAAAATTGAAGTGTAATTTTTGTCTTGGAAAGAAGGAATGAGTAATGTAACTGTGTTATTTGTTACTTGAAATAAGTAATGTAGGTATGTTAACCATTACTGTGTTGAAAAAGTAACGAGTCCATTACTACGGTACTGAAAACAGTAAAGCGTTGCCAGTAACGTGTTACCACGAACACTGGTTTTGACCTCAAATGGAAATTTTCTGGCACCCCGTACTTGGGAAGAGAACATCTTCACTTCCTTTTTTCCTCTTCTTTGACTAAACTCCCTTCGCGACTTGTCCGGCCCCCTCCTTGTTGGCTTCATGGAGACTCTGTCCACCACTGAATAAGGCTGGCGACACCTGTTTTGGAGCATATTTTATGAACATTGCCAATGTCGCCCGATTCATTGCCACACAGAATTAGTTTGCTTTCTGTAGCAAGTGTCAAAAGAAAACAGAAGACTTGTTATTGACTTCTTTTAATGTGTCAACATTAATGCCCACATGACAGGGAAAAGCTGACGGTATCCATCTGTGAACAAAACGGTTGAAATGGAAGCATGCCATGTACAGGGGAGCAGAGTAGTGCCGGGCAGCGATGGCATGTCCGAGTAGCAGCGTCGGTGAGACGGTTTGTTTCCGTTTTTCTTTTTGCACATATAGAAAGAACAGCTTTTCCTTCTTGCATCTTTATTTTTTTTCCGCCCTGAAATTCTACATTCACGAAATTTGAGCGTGCTAAATTCACCACCTACAAGGACACCTTCATGAAAAGTTTTATTCCACTCTGTTCATTGGCCTACGGCTGAACATTGCTCGAGAACTCCCTGCGGATTAGCACGCTCGAGATTTCGCGGGCTGAAGACATGTTTCAGTGATCTCCGTGTGGTGTTCATGTTGAGAAACGACATGAAGGTTGTTGTTAGCATTTATTTGGTCGCTCGCTTAGGCGTAGCCGAGTTCTTTGTTTGCGGTCGCCAGGCAGCTGTTTACCGCTGTACGGGTGAGCTCCCGTTCTCTCTCCTGAGAAACACAGAAAAAAACACGAGATTCGGTGTGTCATTTTCAGGAGTGAGCGTGCACCGTGGTATTGTTATATTTGCAGAAGAAAAAAAAAAAACTACACCAATGCGCAGCTCTGACGCAGTGCTCTACACATTCCTCAGAAAAGGGAACAAAAGTTTGTTCCTTCTGATTATTGTAACGTGTTCCCGCTCCGTACGTTCTTAACTTGCGCGCACGCTCGCACAGTCTAGATTTCTGCAGACTACACGCGCACACAGACCGGAAGTCGATTCCTGCGTGGACGGCCAGTGTTGCCAGATGGTCCCACCAAAAAACCGCCAAACGACTGGGAGGTATAGCCCAAATATAGCCAAAGCCGTAAAAAAATACAGCCCAAAATAGCCAAGACTAAAACAATGAATTTTAAGCCTTATATTGACAATTTCTTACGCTCATACAATACATGTTACAATCTTTGTTTCAACCCTCAGATGTACCACCTTTTGTGTACATTATGTTACTTGTGAATTTTTTAAGAAAAGCTTCGGTAGGATGAATATCCCTACCGAAGCTTTTCTTAAAAAACGAAGAAAAGCTTCGTAGGTTTTCAGAAGTACAAAACACACAAAGACAGCTTTATTGCGAAGACCGGGAAATATGATCATACAATAAAAGAACAAAATACAGAAGCAGAACAGTCATAACACTGGGTGTTTCAAACCAGAACCCCAATATCTCGGGTCCTTACTAATATCCCCCCCCCCCCCCCCCCCCGGTCTCTTTTTTTTTTTTCTTTGTGAAGAATATTACTATCACCCATTCATGTTCACGCTATTTCTGATTGTGTTGTCGCTTCTTGGGGTGAGCAACGAATGGAAGGTAGTCAACTGTTTAGCGGTGAAACTGCGGATTCTCATTTTTACAAACCTGGCTGCCTAAGGATTCTCACAATGGGCACCAAAAGCAGCATTTGGAGAGTTCAGTCTACGTCCGGGCAGAGATGCGTCCGGGTTGAAGGCGCGCTACCGGGCCTGTGGTAATAGTGCAATCTGTTTGGTTTGCTCCACTGCGCTGTAGGGAGACCGCTTGAACTCTGTAAGCATTGCTTCACTGCGTAATGCGAAAACCCCAAAGTCTAGAAGTTTGAAACCTTTCTCCTTCCTCTCCCTTCTCTCGACTAGCCAAAAAAGAAACTTTTTTTGTTTCGAAACTGATTAAAAGTTTGAAAATTAACTAACCGAACCTGAAAGTTCGGCGTCGAATCTGAGGTTCGACAAAAGTTCGCCGCATTCTTAGAAATAGCCCAAAATAGCCACATAGCCAACCACGAAATTTTGACGCCAAACATTTTCCACAGGAGCGCCGCCATCTTGAATTGTCGCCACTTCCAGTATGGGCGACGACAAAATAGTAAAACGTTTCAACCTGTAACTAGTAAAAAAATAGAGGGGAGCCAAAACGAGAATGTGTGACGGTTAGGCTTATATCCTAAATGTCTGGAATACTGGAAGTGACGACAATTCAAGATGGCGGCGCCCTTGTGGTAAAGGTCTCACCGTTCCAAGTAGGTCGATGCAGAAAGGGAAAAACACTCTCGAACCAGAGCGCTGCGCCAACGCTCCGCTTACCCTTTCCCTCGAAAGCTCGTCTGCTTCACGGAGTGGACTGTTAGAAAGCACGTGCACAGTGTACGGAGGCAAGTTGTTTCGACAATGTTAGGCGCCGCTTTGATATTATAGCGTGTTTTCGCGCTTGACATGGCCTATGCAAGAAAAGAATCCACCGGGCAGCACTGTGCCGTAATTGGTTGTACAAATAACCCAAGCAAAACGTAAAATAAACGCCGATTCAGTGTGCGAGATCCACGCTGTCAAACAGGACGAATGTGGGTGCGGCATGTTTATGCTGCACCGGTTCCCCGCTGCTCCGGACCTACGACGCCGGTGGCTGGCGAATTTAAACAGGAAAGACTTCTTGCCATCGAAGAACAGTCTTGTGTGCTCCGACCATTTCGTGGACGGCCGGGGAACTGCGGAGAACCCCGTGCCGTTCCTTCGCCTGGACTACGACCGAAAGGTAAGCGGAGGGCGGCTTAGACATTGAAAAAAGAAAACATTTGCGTGACTCCTGGTCTACTGACTTAATAGTATACGCCGCGACACAGTTTGCGCACAAATAATTCTCACGCGAGGCTATCACAGAGAGGCACATCAATGTGCCAATATTGTGACAGTGGATTCCAACTCAGAAAAAAAAAAGAAACGGATCCGTCGCACTTGCTATCTGTACTCAGTATTTATATATCGATTCATATTTAAATTTGAGGTTTCTACTATTTTAATTAAATCAGACGTGGCAGCGCAGGTCCGAGCCGCTAACCGCGCAGTTAGTTCAAATGTTCCCGGAGCCCCCAAGCTGCGAGAACTCGAGTTTAGTGCAAATTCACGTGCCGTTTGCGTGTCATCCAGGCTTCGTTCAATCCCCAGTTTCACTAGCGATCCTGAATTTCACTAGCGATCCCCAATTTCACTAGCGATCAAAACGCCGAGTTCGGTTTGGGAGCAACGACTGCCCCAGAACCGCGCTAAAAATTACGCACAAAAAGATGCCAGGAAAGCAGGATGCACTTTTCCCCATGCCTGACATACAAATTAGGATAGTACTTTCCTTCATGGACGAAGACGATGAGCCGAGAACGCCGAATACGGTAACAGTCCAGTAATGGCGGGCGGTCATTCGGACGGATTCAGATTCTCCCAAATGCCCGGATGAGGGTAGGCGGCGCTACACTCGTTAAAATGGCGTCGGCTAGGAAGCCCAGCTTGGAACGGTGTTAGCTCCCAAACGAAAATTTCTAACTGGGACCAGTTGGCACCTCAACTGGTTTCAACTGGGACTAACTGGTACCGCCTGGGAATGAACTGGGACGAATAGGAGTCCAACTGGGACCAGCTGAGGGGTCAACTGGTTTGAACTATTCCCAGTTGGGAGTCAACTGGTTTGAACCATTCCCAGTTGGGAGTCAACTGGTTTGAACCATTCCCAGTTGGGAGTCAACTGGTTTGACTCCCGGTTGGGAATAGAGTGAACTGGAACCAGTTAGGAAAGTAACTGGTTGGAGCGATTTCCAGTCGGACTTCAAATGCCTTTCCCGTTCCCAGTTCACACGGAGCAAGAATTTTGACAAGTTGGGGGTGTTTGCTTATGAAGAAAACTTAAATTTTTAGATTTATACAAATAGGGAAATTTTTAATTACTGTGTACATTTATATATTTATAAAAATAATATAAAAATTTTAATTAACTAAATATTTTTTTAATTGGAAAATATAATTAGTGACAAAATGTGTTCACCTAAATGAACATTTAGTGCATCATTAAAATATGTTAAAACATTTATTTAAACACCCTACAGTATTTTTTTCTTTTAATAAATAAATTTATCTTTTGGCCAATCAGAGCTAGCCGGCCGCCGTGGCACGCGGGTGCGGAATAGTGATACGCGTTGTCGACAGATGGCGCTGCCTATGCAGTCGGAGGTTCATACTCTCGCATCAGGGAGATCAATTAGAGGGAGATGATGCGATACAATATATAGGAGCAGTGATGGAGGAGAAATTTCGGGAACGGTTACATGTGGAAGATAGGAGAACCGAAGGAAGTAGCAGTCCAGTTTGTGACATCGCGGATTTTGGACAAAGAGAATGGGAAAAGGCGGAACGAAGAGTCCCTAGTGGCACGTCGACGGGCACAGATGGTATCCCTATCAAGCTGGTGAAGAATTTGGGTCCTAAATCTAAGGCAAAACTAAGGGAGGTAGTGAGTACCATGATAAAAAAAGGAAATATTCCAGATGAATGGAGGCTTAGTAGGATGAGTATGATATATAAGGGAAAGGGAGATAAGTCTGATATTAGGAATTATCGTCCTATAACCGTGACACCGGTTATTTACAGGTTGGTAATGCAGATTATAAAGAACAGACTGGAGGAATGGGTAGATTGCGAGGGCATACTGGGCGAATTACAGAACGGGTTTCGAAAACAAAGAAGGTTGGAGGACAATTTATTTTCTCTAACACAGTGTATAGAAATAGCGCAAAAAGAAAACAGACAGCTCTGGCTGGCATTTCTGGATATCAAGGGTGCCTATGACAATGTGAACCAAAGAAACCTGTGGGACATAATGGAGAACTTAAACCTAGATGAAGGACTAACAGCACTATTAAGGAACATTTACAAAGATAACAAGGTGATTATAACATGGGAAGGAAAGGCGACAGGGAAAATAGAGATAAGACGAGGCCTTAGGCAGGGGTGCCCGTTATCGCCTTTGCTGTTTATGTTGTATCTGAGAGGATTGGAGGATAGACTAGAGAAGAGTGGGCTTGGGTTCAACCTTTCTTACAGTAAGCTAGGCCAAAAAATTCAGCAATCCTTACCGGGATTGATGTATGCAGATGATATTGTACTAATGGCTAACAACAGGACAGAGTTGCAGGAATTAATGAGCATCTGTGGTAGGGAAGGAGATGAATTAGGTTTAGAATTCAGTAGCGAAAAATCGGCAGTCATGATTTTTAACGAGGATGAAGTTGAGAGGCTGAAGATACAGAATATTACAGTTGAGAGAGCTAGTAAATACAAGTATCTAGGAGTATGGATATGTGATGGTGCAGAATATCTCAGAGACCATGAAAAGTATATAATAGGTAAGGGCAACAGAAATGCAGCTGTAATGAAAAATAGAGCACTTTGGAATTACAACAGGTATGAGGTGGTGAGAGAGATTTGGAAAGGGGTCATGGTGCCTGGCTTGACTTTTGGAAACGCAGTGCTATGCATGAAATCCGAAGTGCATGCGAGACTAGAAATAAAACAGCGCGGAGTAGGTAGACTGGCTTTGGGGGCACATTGCAAAACGCCAAACCAGGGAGTACAAGGAGACATGGGATGGGCATCATTTGAGAGCAGGGAAGCGGTGAGCAAGGTAGAATTTGAGGATAGGTTGAGGCAAAT